AGAGCAGCTGTGTGTCAGCAAACCTCTCTCTCATCCTGGTGCAGCCACTGTTTGGGGTTGTCCTCTGTAGCCAGGTAGGCGATGAGGTCCAGGGCGGTCAGGCGAGTTTGCCTTCGTGATGACACAAAAATGAGCACCGGCTTGGCTGGAGAGTGAGCGCGTATCGCTGTGGAGTCCAAAACAGTAGAGTTAGTTTCAATATTGCACATGGTCAAGGAGTATTACCAAACAAATGCTGCATGAAGAGCCAGCACATGTGCTAACGCGCAAAAACAGTGTGCACAAAGCTGCACCTTGGAAGGTGGGCTTGTTCATGCTGGCCATGCGGGGGCAGTAGTGCTGTCCTGGAAAACCGTGGATGTGAACTTCAAGCGGGACCGGGCGCACAGACGGACGGAAGTTAAACAAACCCACCTGTTAGACCAAAGACGAGAAGAAGAGAGATTTAATGTGCGCAGCTGGCAGCGGGGCCGTCTGTCTGCAATGTGAACACTCTGTCACTGTCATGCAGGCACAGAGCTGCTCTCTGTGTTTACTGTGTGATAAGGCGCTATGGCCAAAGTGAACTCACTGTGTGATAGCATGTTCAAAGTGTGTGTGGCATTTTTTGCTGTGTTATTATGTTGAGGGCTGCAGCATGTCTGCAGATGTCTTAAAGGCCTGGATAATGGATTAGCAGCTCCGTCCCAACAGCAGCCAAGCAGCCAGATTTATGGACAACACAAAGACAGCACGTCTCCTCTACAGCTCTGAAGGCAGAGCAAAGGAAAGCTACAGTGTTTGACTCTGATGGTGCAACGTGTAGCTCACATCTACAGACACTACAAAGACTGGCTGATATAAAGGATTGTTAAACTGCTGCAAGCTCCTTTTAGTCTCTAATGCTCACGACACAGCACAAAATCAAAGTACTGGATGGACACACAAACATGGAGGCTGCTGATGAAGCTCATCATTGAGCAGCAGCTGCAGGGCACGAGCAGCTTCAGCTTCAACACCAAACTGAGCATGATGACGACTTTCTGTCCTTTGTTTGAACTGGGACAGTTT